TTATGACCTCTTAGCATTCAGTAAGAAACTTGGTTTTTCACAGAGGAGTATAGTGAATACCTCAATTCAGTATTTGTAAGTGTGTATATGTGCTTGAGAGTGAAAATTACCTATTCTATTCCAAAAAGTAAGTCTTTACTTAGGGAGGGAATCATATATACAATAGGTGGCCTACTTTCTGGGTAGAATTCATATAATATTTTATTAACAGTAATTTCTCTCAAATAAGGAAATTAGGAAGTAAGTTTATGTCAGTTTATTGATAGGTTCATCGAAGTTCAAGGCAACTAAATTTGTTAATTTGAAAATTTCTGTCTGTTATTATTTGCTTATGGTGTTCACTTGCAGAATTTCTCAAATTCTATGAAAAGTTTGAATTTAAAAACGTGAGTTTCACTTTAAAAATAAGACAATAAAACACAAAATAACTTACAGTCTGTATTTTTCATTATTCTTGAAAATAGTTCATAGTTTAAAATGTATAGACTTTTTTTTTTTCTTTTTTTGATACAGAGTTTCGCTCTTGTTGCCCAGGCTGCACAATGGTGCAGTCTTGGCTTACTGTAACCTCTGCCTTCCGGGTTCAAGCGATTCTCCTGCCTCAGCCTTCCCAAGTAGCTGGGATTATAGGCATGTGCCACCACACCCGGCTAATTTTGTATTTTTAGTAGAGACAGGGTTTCTCCATGTTGGTGAGGCTGGTCTCAAACCCCCGACCTCAGGTGATCCACCCGCCTTGGCCTCTCAAAGTACTGGGATTACAGGTTTGAGCCACTGTGCCCAGCCTAAATGTATAGACATTTTAAATACTTGTTTAATGTTTCTAAATTGTCAGCATTGGAGGCCTTCTTCAACATCCAGTAGTAGTGTTCTAAGAAACAAGATGAAAATGTGTTAATTGTTTTTCTAAAAGGATATATAGTATGTCTGATGTGGACAATTTTCTTCATCTTGAGCTATAAATTAATGTCTTTTGAGGAGATTTTTCTTCAGTATATTTTCAGCAGTTCGAAGTTTCCACCTAACCAAGTTATTTCATTTATCATAATGGATGTTGGCCAGGTATCTGTTAGTTTATACATCTGCTTATTCTAATATTATGGTATTATAATCATTTCACGTGTCATAATTATCTATTTTTATGCTCTCCCATAAGAATAGCTGTGTCATTGTACAGAACATAAGCCTGTGTTTTTTAGGTCTAGAATGACACATGTGACATTGTATTGTCACTATTTGAGTGATACCTATTTCTAAGTGCTTTGTTTTGTCAAAACTTTATGTTTAGAAATGTTGAAGTAAGTTGTAATGTTTTTTCACTACCATATCCACTGTTGATCAATTGCTGTTTTCTGGAAGACAGCCTCTATATCTGATTTATATATGTCTAAATGTACTTGTCTAGCTTTATTTGACTTATTTACTCTTACAGGAAAAAAGCTAAGAAATGTTAATTGAATGCTAATTAGCATTAAAATGAAAGGGTTAAGTTTTCTTTAAAATTTTGTTAACCCATTATGTGACCATTTTTTCTTTTTTTTTTAACAGTTAAGAAAACACTGTTTGCATTTGTAGATATTAGACTCTGATTTTTTTTGTCACTTGTCCACATCTTCTAGTATCTCAGAAAAATTAGCAATTTAGAAGGTCTTATGTATTTGCTACTGCTATTTTTCTGTTTAGTACATAGCAGTTGTTAAACTGAAATTAGAGCTTGTTTTCATAGTTTAAAATTATTCACTCACTAAAATACCTCTCTTGGTCCAGGTTCTAGCAACCATAATTTGATGGTTGAAGTTTTTTCAGTTCTTGTTTGGTTTGGTGGGGAAGGGCGTGCTGTTAATATTGTAAAACTATTACCTAGCTCCGGGCAGTTTAGTAAATTAGTTACCAGGCAAACCTACTGAAAAGATTGACTATTCATTAACCCCAAAGGATCAACCATTTAACCTTGTCAACCATTTAAGCTTGGAACCAGAATCTAGAGACTTTTCTCAGAAAACAGTTCTGGGGTGACAAGAGAAACTCCAGCTTTGAAATAGAACAAGAGAAGTCTGCTGAAGAGTTCAAAGTAAAAATGAACACCCATTCAGTGAGAGACTGAAACAATACACTGACTGACTCTTAATTGATGAAACTCCATGCCAGGATAAAAATTAAACTTAGTAATTGATAATGCATATGAGCGAGAGACACTGTGTGTGACAAAGAAAAATGAACCAGGTGTAATGATAGGAATCCCGGGATCTCACCCTAAATTTTCAGAGAGTTTGAAAAGACTGTTTTATAGGATTAGTGCATTATGTTATCAGACTCAGGGGAAGAGAGCCGTGGTCTAAGAGTAGAGTAACTAATAAGTGAAATCTAATATATCCTTGGCATAAAGGGAACCTAATGTCCCTAGAGATGAGTAAACAGCAAATTCCAGCCTTGAGGATGAAGCAGTGTTGAAGCAAATCTGGGTCAGATACAAAGTTTGAATATCTTTGATTAGCGTCTATCCTGAACATGGTGAATCCAATTCAGTTCTATTGGCACATACTTATTATTTGTCAAGGAAGATTAAGAAACGGACCTTGTCTTCAGGTTAATGTGACAGATGCATAAATAATCATTTTAACAGAAAATGATAGAAGAATATACAGGTTACTTTGGTAGTTAAGAGAAGGAGCGTTTAGCCTAATCTGTAGTTTTTTTGTTTGTTTGTTTTTTTAAGGCTTCCTTGAGGAGATGCAACCTGAGATGAGTTTCTGATGGATACGAGTTAGGTAAAGACTAAGCAGGATATTGAGAAGGGACAGCATAAACTGAAGATCCATAAAATAGCATGAAACTGGTTGAATGTTTGCCCAGCTTATCAGTTGGCCTAGGCCAGGATTTCTTAACCTTCTACTTTCTTGGAGCAGCTGTTCTGTGCATTGGAGGATGTTTAACAGCATCCCAGGCCTCTACCCATGAGATGGCAGCAGCAGCGGCAGCAGCAGCATCTGCAGCAGCATCTGCAGCAGTTGGAGCACCACAGTTGGGCAACTAAAAATTCCCCTGGCGGGGACACTCCTGGTTAAGAACCGCTGACCTGGGCTAAGATTTCGTTAAATTAGGATTATATATTCTGAAACTCAATGGCTTCATGTTTTCTTTTATATTCCCCTTTTTCCCTTCGTAAAAATTTCTTTTCAAATTCCAGCCTAGTCTTAACCAAAGAAGAAACTAAATTATTTTATATCTTGTAGAGAGAAAAGGGTGTGGCTAGAGTTCTAGATGTATGGTGGCTGTGCCCAGAACAATGCTGTTTAGAGAACTGGATAACAGAAACTGAATATAGATAGGTTTTTCACTCAGCTGTAAGAACATCAAAATTTAGAACTCCCTTGTAGTTTAAATTCTCTCACCAGCTGTTTCAGCACTGTTTCTAGATTTATTCTACAACTTAAAATACGGAAAATTCAAACATACACAAGAAAATGTAAAAATGGTTAGATACCAGATGTATGTGAGAAAATAAAGTTTAACATTATAATTGGCTGAGTAGGCCCACAAGGAACCACAGGATTTGTGCCATGATCTTTCTAGTGTTTGAAGAATTATTCTAATGATGATACCCAGCTTCTCTGAAGAATGAGAAAATGAAACTTAAATTGCTGTAGGACTTTAGGATTAAATTAGAAAATCAGCAAGCATATTTTAAAACTATTAAACGCATAAGCCAGACTTATCAGATATTTAAGTATCAGGCTGATAAAAACAACTTACAATTTTAAAGTACTTTAAAAGTTATTTGTGGCCAGGCACCGTGGCTCACGCCTGTAATCCAGCATTTTGGGTGGCCGAGGTGGGCAGATCACGAGGTGAGGAGTTTGAGACCAGCCTGGCCAAAATGGTGTGAAACCCTGTCTCTATTAAAGATACAAAAACATTAGCCGGGTATGGTGGCAGGCGCCTGTAATCCCAGCTACTTGGGAGGTTAAGGCAGGAGAATCACTTGAACCCGGGAGGTGGAGGTTGCAGTGAGCTAAGATTGTGTCATTGCACTCCAGCCTGGGCAACAGAGCGAGACTCTGTCTCAAAAAAGGTTATTTGTATATGTGTGTGTATATATCTATATATATTATATATACACATACATATTGTATATTATGGTAATAAATATTAGTATAAACTGCTTCCAACTCTACTTGCTAACTTTCCTTTTTATTTAATATTCTATATTCTATTAGGTAGTAGGGATACAAGTATAAATAATATTGAGCCACTAGCTTCGAGGAAGTCATAATCTTGATAGATACACAGATTTACAAATAACTAGAGTAAAATATGTAAAATGTACTGTGGTAGATTTTTAAATGACATTGAATTAATGAATTTGCTGTAAGAATAATGTGAATTAGTTTGAGAGGGATAAAAATATCAAGGACTATGTTAAATTGTGGAAGATAGAATGTGTAGCATCGCTATCACTTAAGGCTAAAGGCAAGTAGTTTGAACTATCTGGTGATACTTTTCAAAACCTGCATACTAAGCAAAAGTTGCAGGGAAGCAACTGCCATTTTTACATTTTTCAAATTTTGCTGCTTAATGTTAAGATTAACCAACTATTTGTTATAGTAATTCAGCCAAAATGCACAAAAATGGGGTGTTATCACTGAGTTCATTTTCACTTGGGATGAGAGTATTACTTGAGTGTAAAACTAGTATGAAAGTACATTAGAATCAAGGTTCCCTAAAATGTTTTTATGTGGCAGTATATTTACTGAAAAAATTTTGCATATAGTTGAACCTGTGCAGTTCAAACCTGTGTTATTCAAGGGTCAACTGTACTGTGATACTGTGGTACCTCTCTAAATGTTAACTGAAATACAAAGTATGCAAAAAGCATAGTAAAAGTGGTTAAAAATAGATTGATAAATCTTTTGGTTTTTAAAATTTGGTGACAGCTGTTAAAAGACATGTATAAGATATTTGGTTTATTCCTGAATTTTTCTTTTTTTTTCTTTTTTCAGGTCCCAGAACAGTTTTTTTCTGGGCTCCAATTATGAAATGGGTAAGTCTTGAGTTTTTGCAGAAGCTACTGAAAGAAAAATTCCTTAATAGGAATTTACTAATTTGAAGTAACTTTTATGAAGGATATGCTTTAGAATATTCTCATTACGCCTCTCGATTATTTCATGGCAAATATTCTCAGACATACCATTTTCTACATAAAGCAACTATCTACTTTAGTTTTTCTGAACTCTTTAGATAAGAGGCCTTCTGGGAACATACCTGTTATCAAAAAACTTAAAATTGTGTGCCATAGGGACATGAAATTTCATTCTGAAATTTTATTACTAAGTAAAGCATTAAACTAGTTAGAACCCCCAAGTTAACTTTTATTATTAATTTAGTATGAGAACTGAAGGTGCTAACACCAAAATATAGGTAAGGAAAGTTAGTCTCAAAAAGCAGATGGATTTATTCGGGTATAAATATTAGCATTTGGTAAATGACGGAACCTAGGACTTCTGACTCCAAGCCCAGTGCTTTTACTCTTCCCTAGAGTTTTCTTTCTTAAAGTTCTCACTTAGCTGAAAAAAAACAATTGTGGTGGCTGTTTGTAGCAAATCATTGATTTTATGTTGAAAGGGCCAGTTTGGTTCTATAACTGTGCTTCTCAGTGTCACCTTTCTGGACCTGCAGTGGCATCATTTGAGAACTTGTTAGGCCCCATCACAGACCTACTAAATCTAAAACTCTAGACGTGGAGTCCAGTGAGATGTGTTTTCATAACCTCTTCAGATGATTCTCTGATGTCCTCTAAAGTTTGAAAACTACTGGTCTGTAGGCTTTTTTTTTTTTTTACTGTGGTAAAATACACATAAAATTTACTATCTGAACCATTTTCAAAGTGTACAGTTCAGTAGTGTTAAGTACATTTACATCATTGTTAACCAATCTCCAGAACCCTTTTTATCTTGTAAAAGTAAGACTCTGTACCCATAATTCCCCATTCTCCTTCTCCCAGTCCCTGGCAACCACCATTCTACCTTCTGTCTCTATGAATTTCATTACTCTAAGTACCTCTTGTAAATGGAATCAAAATGTATTTGTCTTTTTGTAGTTGGTTTATTTCACCTAGCATAATGTCCACAAGGTACATTAATGTTGTCACATGTGTCAGAATTTCCTTTCTTTTTAAGGCTGAATAGCATTCCATTGTATGTATTTACATTTTGTTTATTCATCTATATGCTGATTGGACAATTGGTTTGCTTCCACATTTTTGCTGTGAATAATGCTACCATGAACATTGATGTACAAATACCTTTTAAGTCAATACTTTTAATTTTTCTTAGTATACACCCAGAAGTTGAATTGCTAGATCATATGATTATTCTGCTTAATATTTTTTGTTTTCCTCAGCAACTACATTATTTTACATTTCTACCAGAAATTCATAAGGGTTTTAATTTCTCCACATCCTCATCAACACTTGTTAACTTTTGATGGGGGAGCGTTTTTGTTTTCGTTTCTATGATAGGCACCTAATGGGTGTTAGATATCTTGTTTTTATTTGCATTTCCCTGATGATTAGTCATGCTGAACATATACTTATTGTACTTATTCGTCAGTTGTGTATTTTCTTTGGAGAAATATTTATTCAAGTCCTTTGCCTGTCTTTAATTTAATCAAGTTGTTTTTTGTTGTTGTTGAGTGATGGGCTGTTGTAATTCTCTCAAATGTACTATTAAAATGGTTAGAACAATTCAGAAACTCAGTTGTAAATTCAAGTGGTTGAGAATGTTAGAGTTAGAATTGGTTATGACTCAATCTTATGGCCTTGGGCAAGTTTAGTCTCTTTGTCATTTTTGTCTCCTCAACTATAAAGTGACAAGATTAGAATATAAGTGATTTGGGAACTGTATTTTACAGAGATCTAGGGAGAAGTTGTTTTTTTTTTTTTTTTTAATCTACGTATTGAGAAAAGATCCTAAAACCCCCTATACTAATGGAAGTTACATTACCATTTCCTTCTTTCACCACCTACACTTAAAATTACATAGTAATTATATGTCTTTATAGTGGAATTGATTGCTGAAGTATTCAATCATTAAAAAAGTTTGAGTGATTTCATCTGTTCACAATAAATTTAGGAGCTTCTTTGACCTCGAATTTACCACAGTTTAGGAGTTTATTGGTTTTATCAGTAACTTTGGTATTTATTTGACCTGGTTCATTACTGTTATGAGATGTTGACAGCATTATATACTCATAAATGCCTTCTTGACTATCTGTCTCTTTAAGAACATCTATTTTAAGTACATGTTGAAATCATGCATAGTCTCCAGATGACAGCATAGCAATAGAAACTTCTGTGTTTTGTTCTCTGGTCGGGAGACTTCTATTAGATACTTACCTTATGTACCTCTTACTGTGTTTTATTATCCCAGAGTATTTGATAATTAATCTGTAGAATTCTATACATGTCACACAACAGTTGCTTCTGCAAGCCACATATGTTCTATAACATTAAGACTCTTAGACCGTGTGCCTTCAAACATACAACTATAGTAGAGTCCTTCGTAACCACTTTAGTTGAAACCACATAACTAATCATAAAGGTCAAAGTGGATAATCCGGAAAAAAAAACCTATGTACCTAAAATATTTTATTTTAACCTAAAGGATATAAATATATATTCTTTGACAATCAGTCTTTTTTAAAGCTAAAGTGTTTATTTGTGTATGGATTTTTGAGCTCCACATTTTCTATCCTGGATAAATTATACTATAGTGCATCCTATATAATTTCCAGCTTAGTTTAAAAAAAAAATTTATTAAATCATATAAATTACATTAACAAGTAAAACTGGCATAAACAGATTGGGGGACAAACATAGTGACTTGGTAAAAATACAGCTCATCTGTTGAGAGCAAAAACGCATGATTGCAATAGAGACAGTGTTAAAAACACAGAAGAGAAATGGCCACATATATGCTGATGTTAAAGAAAAGTGGTCTTACAGCCAGGCCGGGCCTGGTGGCTCACACCTGTAATCCCAGCACTTTGGGAGGCCAAGGTGGGTGGATCACCTGAGATCAGGTGTTTGAGACCATCCTGGCCAACATGGTGAAACCCCGTCTCTACTAAAAATATAAAAATTAGCCAGGCATAGTGGCACATGCCTGTAATCCCAGCTACTTGGAGGCTGAGGCATGAGAATCGCTTGAACCTGGGAGGCGGAGGTTACAGTGAGTGGAGATCGCACCATTGCACTGCAGCCTGGGTGACAGAGCGAGACTCTGTCTAAAAATAATAATAATAATATATGATCTAACCAAAAAACTAGAATTATAACAGGTTTTCTGATACTTATACTTTTAAAAAATAATTCATTAGAAGCCCAAACTTCAGCATCACACAATATACTCATGTAACAAACCTGCACATGTACCCCAAATCTAAAATTTAATTTAATTTAAAAATAATAACATTGGCAGAAAACATCAAAGGAAGAATCTATACAAATATCCTTAACAGCTTTCAGGTATCTTCCATGCTAGTGGTTAGTGGTTCCTGACATATATAAAGAATATATAAATTCATATGCGAAATAAGTAGACAAAAAAACAATATGTATGTGCATATAATGCATACGTATATATCTTATCTATATATGTACTACTGACTTTCAGATATATGAGACTGCTTAGTGTACCTAACAAAGTAAAATTAGTTCAAAAAGCAGTTTTTTAATTCATTGTGCTTTTTTGTTGTTGTAGTCTACATTTTCTTAATGAATGGATACTAAACTTATAGCTGCTAACTTATGGAAATCTCAAAAATGTTTTGTGCTTAATTTAAAGTTAAAACTATTACTCCACACTCATGATACTTTTTTTCTTTCTATGTGTTAATCTGTAGGGGTTGGTGTGTGCTGGATTGGCTGATATGGCCAGACCTGCAGAAAAACTTAGCACAGCTCAATCTGCTGTTTTGATGGCTACAGGTAAATTAAATAAATGTCTTCTGTGTTCCTTGTAGAACATAAATGATTTTTGTTTTGTTTTGTGTCAGTTTATTTAGTGGCTTAGTGTTTGAAATACACCCACACACAAAGGAATTAACAGTATTATGTCTAGGAAGTTATTAATTATGGGTGGGAGAGTCAGAGGAAGAATAAGTATCTGAATGGGCTTTTGTGTTTCAGGGTTTTGCCATGAGCATATTTTTATAAGTGGGAAGAAAATTACAGTTAATAGTCACTTTACTCTAAAGATTCCTCTTTCATGTAAGAATTGAGTATTTTCTGTGACACTAAGCTACAGAAACATTATTGAAAATTCAGAATATAGCATTTCTTTGTCCCTCATCCTACATTATTGTTGTAATTACTTTACTCAATATTAAGTATTCACTGAAGTTATTGCAGCAGTATGTATGCTTTTTAAAGTAACATTTTGTTTCAACAGGGTTTATTTGGTCAAGGTACTCACTTGTAATTATTCCAAAAAATTGGAGTCTGTTTGCTGTTAATTTCTTTGTGGGGACAGCAGGAGCCTCTCAGCTTTTTCGTATTTGGAGGTAAGCCTACCAGAGATATTTTTAAAACTGTTTCAAAAGCTACTCAGGTGGCACTAATTTTTTTTTTTAAAGATTCATATATAATGCTAAGACAAGAAGTACCTAAAGTAGAAATTTAACATTTCTAGAAAAGTCTAGGGGTTTACAAATAAGTTTACCAGTTAACTGGCTAAAATCAGTTAAGCAGTATGTTACCTTGTTTTTAGATTTAACTGTGCATCATTTAGATGGTTAACCATTTCACATAATCTCTTTTATTAAGACAATATATACAGTTTATGATTTATTTATTATGTAAACCTTTTATCACTTACTTTCAATTGTATATAATAAATTGGAACTTAAATGTATTATGTAGTATTGGAAATGATATTTAGAGTGAGGTCTTTGCTTTGATTGGAAAGTGTTCCATGAGCACTGGAAATTTTTAAACTATTTACTCAGTAGTTAATATTGTCGGTGACTTATGATAATGACATTATGATCAAATATTTGAAATCAGGATCTTTTGAGAAACCTAGGAGGTATGGTTAGCTTCATGGAATAGGTATCCTTCTTGTGCTTATACTATTCTCCATTCCTTATAAGCTGGGAGGAATAGTAAATGAAGCCCAAGGAATGGTAGAAGGGAAGGAAAGACTGGCTCTGTCGTTACTTCTTTGGATTGAGAATTGAGGAAATGGTCCTTAGCGTTAGTGAGTTTAAGTGTTTACAGGCTGTTAACCCAATAGCCTGCCTGCATCATAGAAGTATATTTTACCTTAGTGATTAGAAGTATATTTTACTTGAGTGATATTTTACTTTAGTGATTAGTATATTTTACTTTACCTGTTGATCTTATTCTTAGGAAAGGTGCTTTGTGAGTATAAATTTAAAAATTCTAGATGACCACATTTTACTAAACTTTATACATATGTTCACATGTTTGTCACACTCTTGTAGAATTCTAGAATGAGAATATTTATTAAAATAATACTTTTGCACAGGAAACTATATGTCAGCTAAACTGTCAAAAGTTTTTGGCAGGCCAGGCACAGTGGCTCACGCCTGTAATCCCAGCACTTTGGGAGGCTGAGGCAGGCAAATCACGAGGTCAGGAGATCAAGACCATCCTGGCTAACACAGTGAAACCCCGTCTCTACTAAAAATACAAAAAATTAGCCAGGAGTGGTGGCGGACACCTGTAGTCCCAGCTACTCGAGAGGCTGAGGCAGGAGAATGGCATGAACCCCAGAGGCAGAGCTTGCAGTGAGCCGAGATCCCACCACTGCACTTCAGCCTGGGTGACAGAACGAGACTCCGTCTCAAAAAGAAAAAAGTTTTTGGCATTTGTCATCTTATTATCTGAAACAAAATCCAGATGCAAATGAACTCTTTGAATCCTTTCCCTTCTGCCTGTTTCTACCTATAAGCGCCCCGGGAAGATTCTGTTTACAACTGTATAGCTACTTGACCACCAAGAAAGAAGAAATGGAGTATGCTTTCCATTCTCTCCTTACCATAAGTTTATCTTTATTGATGATTATTTTTCTTTCTGTTTTCTTTATAGATATAACCAAGAACTAAAAGCTAAAGCACACAAATAAAAGAGTTCCTGATCACCTGAACAATCTAGATGTGGACATGACCATTGGGACCTAGTTTATTATTTGGTTATTGATAAAGCAAAGCTAACTGTGCATTTGGAAGGCACAATAAAACTAACTGCAACTGGTAGCTAGTGCTTGATTCAATAGAAAAATAAAGCAAACTTAATAACAGTCTCTCTACATGACTTAAGGAACTTAGCTATAGATATTAGTAACATTTTTCTACCATTTGTCCATAATAAACCATACTTGCTCATATATACCCCCTGCCTCCTTCTGTTCCAGTCAGCCAACATGTGTACATAAAAGAACACACAAATATAAGAAGTTGGAAGATTAAATTATCTGCTTATTTAGTGTAGGATGGTCAGGTAGCTAGCTATAAGTGAAAGGAAATTTTGCTGAAGAGACTGAGAAATGGGTAGTGGAATGACCATCAAGGTGACCTCAAACTATTTAAAAACATTTTAACTTGCCATGAAGATTCTTGATGATTTTTGTATAAATGTTGTATAAAATACTTTTACAGCTACAGATTTTTAAATAGGATCATTGTAAAGATTAGATAATGTTTTAACATAGTGCCTGGTCTATGATAAGTGTTAAATTTTTCAGTTACCCTCAGTAACTGATATAATGTAGCAGAAAATACTCTATATTCAGACAGACCTGAATTTGAATCCCAGCTCTATGACTTATGTATTGTGACTTTTTTTTTTTTTTTTTTTTTTGAGACAGGGTCTTGCTCTGTGGCCCAGGCTGGAGTGCAGTGGCACAGTTTCGGCTCATTGCAAACCCTACCTCCTGGGCTCAAGCAATCCTCCTGCCTCGGCCTCCCGAGCAGCTGGGACTACAGGCACACACCACCACACCCAGCTTATTTTTGTAGAGGTAGGGTTTTGTCATGTTGCCCAGGCTGGTCTCAAACTCCTGGGCTCAGGTGATCTGCCCACCTCGTCCTCTCAAAGTGCTGGAATTACAGGCATGAGCCACCATACCCAGCCTATGCTGTGACTTTAGACAAGTTAGGAAAGTGCCTAGCAGAGTACCTGGGACATAAGTAGGTTTTCTGTAAATGTTTGTGACTTTTGGCTCCGTTGTGAGGAGAGACGGAACATACATTACTCCACACTACAAATAACCATCTCTTTGATTTGGCTTTCAATGTGGAGTGCTGAGCTTTTTTTCTAAAAGTGCTAATAAAGCCAGTCCTCATTAAAAATATAGTCAGATGACTCAGCAAAGCAAGTTATTTCAAAATTTGAAGTAACAAGACAAAACAACTTTTTGAGTAATACTGTAACCTATGAAAATTTGATAGTTAGCAATTGAAAACCTTATACGTTATCATTTGTCCCTTAACCATGGTCTACCATTGAGGAGAAAAGATTAGAGAGCTTGACATAGTCCAAAATGAAGCGGTTCTGAAGAGTCAAATTATTATTGCTTTCATTTCATAAACCACACTGTTAAATTCATTTGTGTGTTTGACATGGGTGTGCACACATGTATGTTTTTCCTAGGTTAAGCATTTAGGAAAAACATATTATGAAATATGACATAGACACAAAAAGTTTATTAAAAATTTATATGTGGACTTGGTGTTTCACTTCCTTTTCATTAAAACATCTTTTCTATGCGGGGTCTCCTACGTCCCTCTTGTCAGTCAAATTTATTGTAGCATTTAGATACAATCATAGGCAGTCCTCCTTTCTTGTTTATCAGAAGTTTCATTGACAAACAGCCATCACATGCTGCTTTTCTGCCCCAAAACTCTTTATCCTATTTTTTAATCTTAAAAATTAAATCATGGCCAGCTTCGGTGGCTCACGCCTGTAATCCCAGCACTTTGGGAGGCCAAGGCAGGTGAATCACCTGAGGTCAGGAGTTCGAGACCAGCCTGGCCAACATGGTAAAACCCCGTCTCTACTAATAATACAAAAATTAGCTGAGCGTGATGGCACATGTCTGTAATCCCAGCTACTCCAGAAGCTGAGGCAGGAGAATCACTTGAAACCAGGAGGCGGAGGTTGCAGTGAGCTGAGATCGCGTCTTTGCACTCCAGCCTGGACGACAAGAGCAAAACTCCATCTCAAAAAGTAATAATATGTATCCTGTCAAAAACTCTCATTGCCACTTGGAACACATAGTCTAGTTACCAGTTTCACAACTATTCTCAAAGACTTAGTAAGAAGAATATATATAATAGAAGTCCTTACTATCAATGCAGTTACTGAACTCCATAAAAATAATTTCCACAGTGGTGCAAATCACTTGATTAGTATAGTTGAGTTGAATTCTTTATCACAACTTTCTGATAGGTCCTTATTGATAGCTTCACTATGTAAGTGTTCTTTCTCAATGCCAGGTCTGACAGCCCTGGGCTTCAACCCAACTCTGCCACACATTAACTGTGAGACTTTGTTAACCTCTGTCTCTGACCTTTAATATTTTCAAGAACAAAATGGGAATAATCATGGTACTGACTTCATAGGATTGTTCTAAAGATTGAGATAAGGTTTTGGTTTTAACACAGTGCCTGGTCCACAGTAAATGTTAAAGTTCAGGAAATGGGCCGGGCATGGTGGCGCATGCCTGTAATCCCAGCACTTTGGGAGGCTGAGGCTGGTGGATCACCTGAGGTCAGGAGTTTGCGACCAGACTGACTAACATGGTGAAACCATGTCTCTACTAAATACAAAAAATTAGCTGGGCGTAGTGGCGCATGCCTGTAATTCGAGCTACTTGGGAGGCTGAGACAGGAGAATCACTTGAACCTGGGAGGTGGAGGTTGCAGTGAACCGAGATCGTGCCATTGCACTCCAGCCTGGGCAACAAGAAGAAAGTTCAGAAAATGGTAGTCTTATTAATTGAAGGTAGACCCAGAAAGTACTTCCTTAGACTAAGGAAGTTATAATTTTACTACGAAAAGGATATACTGTGTTAACCTATTTGCATGGTTTCTGAACTAATAACTTTATAGCGGAAAAGAAGCTGCTTAGGGTAGAGGAGTAGAAGGTGGGGTGGAGAATGCTCAATAAGAGAGAAATTCTTTAGTCTTTTTTGTTGTATGGCATTTTAAGGAAACTTTGATCCAAGGTATGTCAGTGCTGCTGTAGTAAACATTTTCTTTTTTAACTTATAAAACGATAGTGAAAGGTTGAATGTTAACAAGGATGAACCTCAAAGCTAAGGTTCCTTTCTGTAAAACAAAGGTCTCTACTGAAGCCTGTTTATATAATGAAGCAGAAATAGAAAACACTGGCATTTATTAAGAATAGCTCTCCCTATGGTGATTGTTTAATTATATGAGGTATGAGTCTAATTATAAGACTGATTTCCACAACTCACACCAGAAAATTCACTCAACAAACATAATTAAATGACCCTCTTGTTTTCCTCCCTAAGACAACTGTGTTTTACAACATTTTGAAGCACACAGTAAACTTAATTATAGAGCGGGGCTTTATATAAGAACATGCACAGCTTTTTAAATAAGATGTTCTAAATTCCAATTTTAAAAGCTGTGCCCCTAAATGTTAATTGTGGTTGTGATATACATAAGAACATTTAGAAAATCAGCACATTATTTAAGCAGAAAACACGCCAACCTCTTAAAACACATTTTTCCAGTGTCACATCAGATAAAGAAAACTCAAATCCAGTGCCCACTGGATTTCAAGTTACCTTTGGGATACATTTGGTTAAAAGTGTGCACTTGACCAGTCAAAAAGGGCAGGTATATAATTCTTCAAACAAAAATTTACCTCACAAATACATCTGAAGATAAGTACTGAATTTATTATAACTGGCAAATTTCATAGTCCTGGTACAAGCTGTAACCACTATTGACTAAAATTAGGTGTTTGCTTGCTCTGGAGATACTTCTGATGATCACCTACCCAACTGTTGCCTAATTTCAACCATCCTCCACATGGCCAAGGGAAGAGTTGTGTAAACTACTCTGGGGTCATGTCAGTCTCTGCTGACCGTTGCCTCAAACGTGTGGATAAGAGAACCTGAAACAGCCAGTACTTGTACAGTAGTAGGTCACTCAGGTTGGCGGGGGAGGGGAAGGCAGTGCCACCCAATCAGGAACATGGTCAGTGCCTGTGGAACAATGAACTACTGATGAGGGTGTGGCCTGGAAAACGGCTCTTAGATGAAACTGTCATTTTATGGGTCAGCTATAGACAGACATGGCACTTCGGCTGTCTTCAGAATAATGTCACCCGGCCTCCTCTCCTGTCTTCTGCAGTCTTAAAAGAACTAGTCCCCAGTTGAGGTCTGGCTTTTCCTCAGCCCTGGATGAAGTGGAGGTATGTGGAATTAAGAGTCTCAGCGGAAAGAATGGTTGCAGAGCTGAAGATGAGGGCGACTATCAGGAAAGAAGACAGCTATTGGAGTGCAGAGGAGTGGGAAAGCCTGGGGCTAGAAGTCAGGGTTCACGTTTGCGTATACCTCTGTGTCAGTCCTTTACATGAGCTTAGAAGCTTGAAGGCTTAAATATTGCCTCATCTTATTTAACCTGGATGCTCTGTCTCTCTAGCTTACTGTCTTTATTTGCCTCTTTTCTGCAGTTCCTCACTTGATACCTTCCTTTTTATCAGTCAACAACTACCAAGTGCTACCACTTGAAGGGGACTCTGGGAAGGTGCTGTGGAGGAAACAAAGATATGTAGAAGATGGTTCCAAACGGGGAGCTTACAATTCAGATGAAGATAAAATAGAAGCAATTCAAAAGATAATCAAGGATAGTTGTATGGGAAATAAGCCACTTAAGTGTAGACATTAAGAGCCATAATAGCTCAGAAGAAAAATTACCATGGCTAAAGTAGAGTATCTTTCATGACAGATATCACTGTGCCTTTAAGATCAGAGTATCTCACTCTTTGGACTCCTGTGAAACCTGACTTTACATATAGGTGAAAAGTTGAATATAAAATCTATAAGGAAATTCTAGAGGAGAGATTTAGAGAAACTAATGGATATAATCGAATCCTAATTTCTCTTTTCATTTTTGGGTACTACTGAGTTTTCTTTACTCACACTCTTCATTCAGGAATCCTTCTTGGTTTATCTTTCGGGCCTCATTCACCTGCTTGCCTTTTGAGTCAGGTATCCTCGTTTCTCATTCCAAGGTGCTTCCATACTTTGTCAGTACCCATGCTGTTCATGCTCTATTCTTGATGTGACAGAATTGGCCGAACAATTGATAAGGGTACCATCAACACGCATTGAAAGTGCTCTTAAATTACATACATCTTTTCCCTAGTTCACATACATCCCCAAAGTGCTATAAAGCATATACAAATGGGATATAGCATGATATAGTAGAAAGAACACGAACTTTCAACTCTCACAGACCTGGGTATTCCTAACCTACGGCAAGTTAGTATCTCTGTGCTTCAGTTTTCATATCTATAGAAATCAAGTCTACTTCATAGTGCTGTTTGGATGATTAAATGAGGCAACCTATGTAGAACTGATACGGCTCCAATGAGTGGAGGAACACCAAGGTTCTTAGTCCTCATCCCGGTTTAGATAAAACGACAAGGACACACATGGAGTGATTTTAAGGAGTGGAAAATTTAATAGGCAAGAAGGAAGAGGAAAGAGGGAAGAAGCTCCCTCATACAGAGACAGAGGGAGCGGGGTTCCAAAGCTGAGAGAGGGAACCCCCAGTGGGGTGGACTGGCAGCCAGATATATATTACAGAGACTGGAGGAGGTACTGTCTGATTTGCATAGGGTGCAGGGGATTGGTTTGACCAGGCATATCATTCACTTAGCCCTGGAAAAAGCTGGCCCTCTCACCCTAGCCTTTTAATATGCAAATGCAGGGTGCCATGATGTTCTACACACGTGGGAATATGTGGGGGCGGCCATGTTTCCAGGAATATGTGGGGCAAGGGCAAGAAGGCCTCCAGAATCGCCATGTTGGGTGGGCCCAGTTTCTAATGGACTTCATTTGCATATCAAAGGTTGCCAGCCTGGCTCTAAGAGCCAGGGCTTTACAAGAAATTTTCTGGAGATGCTTTAAAAAACGAAAACTTCCCAAGAGCCCTTTTCCACTCTATCTGCCTAAAATAATTTCTTAATAACTCCTACAATAGAATGCTTCACATAAAAAGGTCATAATAAATTATACTTACAGTGTGGTATGTGCCGGTAGAAAGGTAAATATCGCTATCATTAATCATTTTGTGATGTTGCAGAACTTAAAGCAGAAAACTGTATCTTCAAAAATAGAAAATTTCTATTGTCTTTTATGGGTGTTCATAAGAAACTCCCAGATATTCATTTTAGATCTCCCTGCCTTTTAAACCTATAATTTTCTTCTTTTAGTTTCACATCTACATATGCCATCTTCATCTCAAAATGCACCTACTTTCCTTGTTTTGTCATCATAAACAGAAAAATCTGTCCAAGTTCATTCACATCACCTTAATTAAAACAATAGAATCTTAGCAATCATCTAATTCATCTCTACACTGACTAAAATCCCCTGTTTGAAATGCTTGTTCTCCAGTGCCGTAAAGAAATAGCACTTGAACATAAATTTAATTTATTTAGTAAGGCCATTTTTACTTC